TTTAAATCCAGAAGGTCTAATCTAATCTAATCCTTTTCAATCCAATTTTTTTAAATGCATCCTAGACATCAGATTAAAGCATGTGCTTTGCTTTCTAGGCCATTTTAAACAGACTCAGCATCTGTGCTTCTGACCCTCCATGTAGCAGTTTTTTTAAAAAAAGAGTGATTTAGAAGAAATAAAAATAGAATAAACCATGTGTGTGTTCCTATGTCTAAATGCATGGATACATGTGTGTCTATACTTTATATATGTATAATTTTGCTAAGACTGATTAAAGAATGGTGACTGTATATTTTTAAGTGAATGGAAATGGAGAATCTGATTAGAAGGCTGTCAGTAAAGATGATGTTTGGAGTGTGATTCCTCAGCTCTGCTTCACCGCCACACGCAGTGCCAGTTGCTGCTTCGGTTTGTCTCATGTCTACTTTGCACTAACACTAACAGCCTACACGTAGCTTATCAAAGCTGGCTCCACTTCCAGCTATTTCCAGTTTGCTTGAATTATCCTTTATGTGAAAGCTGCTGCTGGGTTAATTACCTTTAATTAGTTTTCTTGCAACCCTCCCAGCCAACACAGGCCGAAGACCTCAGAGGCCCTCTCACCAGGCCTCCATCTACCCTGCAACTGGCCTTTAAAAACACAGCATATCCCTCTTGCCTTGTTTCTTTCCATGTCTGTTGCAGGGGAAAAAAACGCATGAAATCTTGGCCACGTGGCAGTCTTTAGATTTGTCCTAAAATCTTTTTGTCCTCGATTTGGAATTAAGGTATATTCCTTGGATAGATAAACTTCCAAGAGTCTCTGTCATCCTTTCTTGGGTTGCCACTTATTTCTAAATTAAGCTCCATTGTTTTTAGTGATTTAGCATCAAAATAATTTACTTAGTTGGGGTTTTCATTTCTTAACTGTTACTTCCTTTTGTAGCAGATTGGAAAACCACTACTTTTAAGGATGTATTTACTAAAACTCCGATTCTTAAAGAGGAATCTTTAAAAAATTTTTTTTTATTTTATTTATTTTTGGCTGTGCTGGGTCTTTGTTGCCGCACGCAGGCTTTCTCTAGCTGCAGAGAGCAGGGGCTACTCTCTAGGTGCGGTGCATGGGTTTCTCACTGAGGTGGCTCCTGTTGCAGAGCGTAGGTTCTAGGCACATGGGCTTCGATAGTTGTAGCTCCCAGGCTGGAGAGCACAGGCTTATTAGTTGTGACATAGGGGCTTAGCTGCCCTACAGAATGTGGGGTCTTCTAGGACCAGGATTGAACTGGTGTCCCCTGCATTGCAGGACAGATTCTTAACCACTGGACCACCAGGGAACCCCAAGAGTAATCTTTAAGGAGATTCCTCTGGCTAAAGATTTGAAATGTATACAGAAGATTTTTGGACAGTCTGTCCATAGCCATTCACTGGTTTCTGCAAACGTGCAAATCTCCTAATTCAAAGCATGAGTCTAGACCTGCAGTTCAGGGCTTTCACAGTGTTTTGTTCATTCTGCTAATACTGACTTCAGATTATATTGTGCTCAGTTTGATACATGTTGATTTTTTTTCAAAAACTTTCTATTGAGGAAGCAACAGATCAACAGCTATGGCAATACCCAGGATTGTGATAGTAAAGAGGATTCTCAGGCCTCACCTCAGATTACTGAATGAGGAAACATAACAAACTCTCCAGATGAATTATTTCACATTAAAGGTTAATTGCTGTTGCTGCTGCAATGCTGTCACTTCAGTTGTGTCTGACTCTGTGCGACCCCATAGACGGCAGCCCACCAGGCTCCCCTGTCCCTGGGATTCTCCAGGCTAGAACACTGGAGTGGGTTGCCATTTTCTTCTCCAATGCATGAAAGTGAAAAGTGAAAGTGAAGTCGCTCAGTTGTGTCCGACTCTGTTTGACCCCATGGACTGCAGGCGACCAGACTACTCTGTCCATGGGATCCTCTAGGCAAGAATCTGGAGTGGGTTGCCATTTCCTTCTCTGAAAGGTTAATTGAGTGTTTTAAAATACTGTCACCTTTTTGAAGACAGCCCACAAAATACTCTTNTAAAGGAGATCAATCCTGGGTGTTCATTGGAAGGACTGATGCTGAAGCTGAAACTCCAATACTTTGGCCACCTCATGCGAAGAGTTGACTCATTGGAAAAGACCCTGATGCTGGGAGGGATTGGGCGCAGGAGGAGGAGGGGACGACAGAGGATGAAATGGCTGGATGGCATCACCGACTCGATGGACATGGCTTTGAGTAAACTCCGGGAGTTGATGATGGACAGGGAGGCCTGGTGTGCTGCGATTCATGGGGTCACAAAGAGTCGGACATGACTGAGCAACTGAACTGAACTGAACTGATGGAATGTACTTCTGAGTCTATACCTTAGAATAACATAGAAAGTAATCAATGTGACAGAATTGTTAGGTTAATAAAGACTCCAATTAGAGGGTTGATTTGTCAAATCACTCTCTTGATTCCTTTCCTACAGGTGTGTATAGATGCTGTAGTCGCTGTGTTGTGTCCAACTCCGCAATCTCATACACTATAGTCCGCCAGGCTCCTCTGTCCATGGAATTTTCCAGGCAGGAATACTGGAGTGGATAGCCATTCCCTTCTCCAGGGGATCTTCCTGACCTAAGGATCTAACCCAGGTCTCCCTCACTGCAGGCAGATTCTTTACTATCTGAGCCACCAGGGAAGCCCCCAGGTATTGTCTCCCAGAATATGTAATCTTAAACCTTCAAAATGTTTTTGGCTCTTTTTGAAAAGATTTAAAATCCAGAAGTTTGTCATTTTTATTAAAATGGTTCCAACATTTCCTTTTTTAAACATTTTTTCCTAATACACTCTCAGCACATACATTATGCCAACATAGACAAGTGAGCCCCATATCTACCTCCACCTAAATAAATGGCAAACTATTTCCAAATCACAGCTATTTGCTTCCCCTCTACATTTCTTTTCTATTGTCCTTCCTGTCTCTGAATGGCGCCACTACTTCCCAGCCCCCGCCTCCAATCCAAACATCTGATCAAGTCAGAGTCTTTATTCCTTGAGTATTCCTTTTTACTGAATGGTTGTTCCATGACTTAGTATCTTCCCTGGTTCTTCATAGCTGGTGAGATGAAATTCGGTTTCCTGAGCGTGTCCTCTTGGAACTACCCCAGCCCTCTGTCCTCATTTCTCTATCCTATTCCCTTATCTATCCAAGAGTCCACTCATTCTAAGTTACTTGAAATTCCCGCATACTCCATGCTTTTCCACTCCTCTGTGCTTTAATCATACTGATCCTTCAGGAGATTAAAGATAACAGTCAGAGAGACATGGGTTACTCCTTCAGTGCTGCCACTGACCAGTTGTATGACTGAGCCCAGTTTATTAATTTTCATTTATAAAGTGAGAATAATAGTGTATCTCATTACATTTATCTTTACATAAATGTGAAGAGGATGAGAGTATGTAAGGATAGCATGAGAAAGTATAGATAAATTGCTTTGTATAATAAGCAGTCAGTGTATTTTGGTGGCATTGTTATTGTTATTATTATTACTGTCTAAAATTCAGGTCTGGTATCATATCTTTTAGGAAGTTTCCTGTTCTTTCAATCTAGAGTTCCTGTAGCTTCTGGAGCACATCCCTATCATAATACTTACTGCAGGATTTTTTAGTACTGTTTTCTGATTCCCCTTAAACAAACTGAACTACTTGAGATGACTATACCTTTCATTTCTCAAGGCCAAAGTTCAGTATAGTATACTACCCAAGTAGGTACACTTAATAAGTGTTGCTTATTCCATATTGTCATTTATGTGTATAAGCTATATATCCCATCCCAAAATATCTTAAGTCCTCCAACATGTCAAACAATATGATTTAGTGCAGAACTGATAGAATTCTGAAACATAAAATACATAACTTGATTTTGGGATAAATAAATTTTTCTCCCCTCAAACTGTGTTATTTAAATTTTGGGTTAGCTGCTACCTTGGTATATGGGATGAGAACTATTAGTAATAATATTATTATTGTTGTTTAATTTAAATTATCTCTATCTTGAACAAGTTGACATAATTTTAAAATACTGGTATAGTAAAATATAAAGTAAGTGGTCAAAAGTTATGCATTTTGTGCTATTGTGTAAAATATTCAAAATGAATGACTATAGGATGGATTTGTCTTGTAATGCTGCCAAGTTAGAAGCTTGAATAATTTAACCCATGATTTACCAGGATATGTTACCGAAAGGATATCAAGATTATTTAAATAATTTGAGGATTTGTGACAATTCTAATCCTTGTAGAAGTAATGCAGAACATGGTCTTTTAGTTCATACTGATAGCCTCTTTATTTTTCTTAATAATCTTAGGAGCTTTAAGGAGACATTGTATATCAGATAGTATGATGTGTGGGAGAAGCCAGTCTGTAGAAAGAAATACAACAGAGAAGCCCGGAGGTGTTTCCCGAAGAATAAACCACCTAAGGAAAGCACACGGAGTCTTTGGTGGCGAGTCTTTGGTATTAATGCTGAACTTGGACTTCCTAAGTTTTTTCTTCCACCCCTGTTTGTGAAGAATCTGGGGAGTTAACTCAACAACTTTACATTGAACAAGGAACTGATTACACTAACGTATGAATGAAGAGTTGATTTAATGATTCAGTTCTCCTCAGTCACTCAGTCGTGTCCGACGCTCTGCGACCCCACGGACTGCAGCATGTCAGGCCTCCCAGTCCATCAGGGGGCTTCCCTGAAGCTCGGTTGTCTGAGAAGCTAAGTCCTGCAGTTGCCTACATGATTGATACCCAAGAAAAATCCTGAGGACGAGCGCAAGGCTCAGGGGAGCTTCAGTCTGCAGAAGCCTGAGTGGCCTGTTACACAGTCTACCCAAGGGACATGGACTTGGTCATCTATGGCATGGAAGAGATCCAACCTCAAATTGAGACAAAGTTTAATAAACTTTTTGGTGGAATTTGATTAAGGAGCATAATATCAGATGCAAGAGTCATCCATAAGCAATAATAATTAATAGGAAAATTGTATTGGAAAGCCTTATGAGAAGAAAAGACTTAAAAGAGAGAAAAAGTAATTCTGGACAAAATTCTACATGAAATAGAAAACTATTTCCTGGTTCAAAATTATAACCCAAAATAAGCCAGCCAAAACTGAAGGGCCCTTTAATTCTTAAAAGATTGGTTGAATAATATGAAAAGCCTTGAAGCAGTATTTGAATTCTACCTCAACAAGTGATCACATGTGAAAAAGTTAAGACAAGGAGAAATTGTGTGGATGTTGTGAAAATGCCAGTTATCTATGATTAGAAAGAGCATCTACTGATTAAGTTAATGTTCCCCTAAGGAAACGTATTGCCTACAAAAAGAAAATAAAAGTCATGTGAGACAAACAAATATTTTGATCTTTGGATAACATATTTGCATATTTTTTTCCAAAGCACCTACCATGCCCAGGGGCAGCCTGACAATACTCAACAGTGCTATCTACTCATTGACTGCACTGTCAGGTTTTCCCTCTGGCATCATTTGCCACCCGGACTGCCTGCTGCCAGGCAGATGACAATAAAATGTAAACTTACACTCCTAAAGGAGATTTTAAAATGTTACTGGAGAGAGGAAAGCGATATCATGTTGTCCAACTAGAGAATACTTCTAGGTGGGAGTAGCCTAACTGTTAATGCAGGGCCACTTAGGGAAATTCCAGCACAAATGCTGTAATTTTTATGGTTCCTTTTATCCCATGGGCTTCCCAGGTGGTGCTAGTGGTAAAAAACTCACCAGCCAATGCAGAGACCCAGGTTTGATACCTGGGTCGGGGAGATTCCCCTGGAGGAGGGCATGGCAACCCACTCCAATATTCTTCCCTGGAGAATCCCATGGATAGAGGAGCCTGGCAGCCTACAGTTCATAGGGTCGCAAGGAGTAGGATGGGACTGAAAGGACTTAGCATGCATCATTCCATGGTCTACTGCTTTCTCCATATGAAAAGAATCAGGGAATCATCTAACAGGGAAAAGTCAAAAGTACAGTTTACTTAGGTATCGCTTAGATATGATACCTGAGGAAGAAAAACACACAAGTACCACATGACTCTTGGTTGATGTTTTACTGGAATTAGCAAGAGAAAAATGAATAATGGTTGACTATTCAGGACAAGAAGAATTAAGTCTGCACTGTGCCTGAACTTCCCTTAAGAACTCTCCAAGTAAATTTATATTCTTTTATCTGCAAGCAGCCCTCATCAAACAACAGATCTCAAAGTGAAAATAATTCAAAGTGACTCTTATTTCTTTGGCCGTGAGTTAAAGATGTTTACTTTTCGCAGCACAGGCACAAAGAAAGAAGATTTGGCCAAGCCTGAAAAATCACCTTTGCTTTATTAAACCAAAGACTTAGCCTGAGAAGAGAAGACTTGAGAAATCAAAGAGTAAACAGAGATTACTGCTGCATCACTTGGCCAGGAGCTTAATTCTCCTCTACTAATGAGTAAGGGACCAACCACACCTGCTGAGTGTTGGCAGTAGAAAGAGGTTGGCTCTGGGGTCGAGCGAGAATGTTGTTTAAAAAAGGAGCCATGGAAATTTGGGCCTCTCCTGGGAAACTTACTGTTTCTCTTTTTAATAGTTTCTATATGGATTTTGGAATCGTGTGATCAGTGCTGTGAGTGAGAGGATGTGTACAGAGATAGTTGCATGTTGAGAGCAAGACTGAGGTGACAACCCGACTGTAGGCAAGATCTTGGAGGGCTTGGTACCCTCACTGCCTCAGCTGGAAGCTCTGGGAAATTCAAGGAAAAAATCTGTTTGGAAGCACATTAAAGAACTGAGTCACGGTGGTGATGCAGGGGTTGGGGTGGGAGGGTATGTCTTATTCCAGGTGGTATGAATATCATACTCAAAATTCCTGGGAGAAGGAAAGAGTTAAAAGTGAAATGTAAACCAAATTTGAAAGTAGTATCCATTACTGTTGATGTGCGAGATGAACAGAAGAAAATTATATATGTATGAAATAAAATCATAACCAAAAATAGTTGAAATGGGATTTATAAAGAGAAATAATAATGGATAACATATTAAGTTCTTGCTAACTGCCAAACACTGGCCTAAGAACTTGAGGTGTATCAGTTCATTTAATCTTCCTCACAGCTGCTGAGATAGGTATTGCTATTAATATCATCTTGCTTCAGAGATGAGAAAACTGAGGCTCAATAAAGCTAGCTAAGTGAACCAGTATCACATGTCATTTATTAAGGCAGAATCAGGACTTATATTCAGGGGTAATGATATTTTTCTTCTCTTACCAGAAATTAGTTGGTGAAGTAGATAGTTGGATTAGAAAGACTTAGACATGCCAGCCCATGTGTTAAAAGTCTGGGCTCTGGAATCCTGACTTCTATATATACTTATGAGGAATATCACTTTTCTGGTCTTAACCTTTTCCTTTTCACTTGGAGATGCTCCTTTAATGTTTCTTATAAAGCTAGTTTGGTGGTGCTGAACTCTTAGCTTTTGCTTGTCTGGAAAGCTTTTGATTTCTCCATAAAGTCTGAATGAGAGTCTTGCTGGGTAGAATATTCTTCGTTATAGGTTTTTCCCTTTTATCACTTTAAATATATGGTGCCTTTCCCTTCTGGCCTGAAGAGTTTCTGCTAAAATGTCAGCTCATAGCCTTATAGGAGTTCCCTTGTATATGAGTTTTCTTGTATGTTGCTTTCCCCATACTTCTTTTAATATTCCCTCTTTTTCTTTAATTTTTGCCATTTTAATTACAGTGTGTTTCAGCGTGTTCCTCTTTGGGTTAATCCTGAATGGGACTCTACACTTCCTGGACTTGGATGACTGTTTCCTTTCCCATGTTAGGGAAATTTTCAGCTATTATGTCTCCAAATATGTTCTCAGCCCCTTTCTCATTCTCTTTCTTTCTGGGACCTCTATAATGTGAATATTTATATGCTTGGTGTTATCCCTGCAGTCTCTTAAACTTTCCTTATTCCATTTTTTTCTGTTCAGCTTTAGCGATTTTCGCTACCTCTGTGTTTTAGTTCATTGATCCACTCCTCTGTATCATGTAGTCTACTGTGAATTCCTCCTAGTGTATTTTTCATTTCAGTTATTGTATTCTTCATCTCCCTTTAGTTGTTCCTTATATATTCTAACTGTTAAAAGCTTCTAACTTCCTGCTCTGTACATCCATTCATCTCTTGAATTCTTTGATCATCTTAACGATCACTACTTGAATTCTTTCTTGGGCGGATTGCCTAGCTCCACTTCATTTCGTTCTTCTAGGGTTTTATCTTGTTCCTTATCTGTTCCTGCCTAAGCTGTTGTTTGTAGTTCTGTGTATCTGGTAAGTTAGTTATGCTTCCTGACCTTGGAAAAGTGACCTTCTGTAGCAGATATCCTACATATCTCGACAGTGTACTCCCCTCTCATCAACCAAGCTATATGCTCCGGGCTTCTCCTATGAGGCTGCATGGGTCCTTCTGTTGTGGTGGGGTCGAGTATGTGGGTGATCTGGTATGCTTGATTGGCCTGGGGTCAAGTTGTTTTCCATGCCCTACCTTGTGCTGAGGCTGCCTGCTACTGGCTGTGTAGACTGCTGGCTGTGGTTGGTGGAGCCAGGTCACAAGGCAGCTGACTACAGAGCCCTAAGGGGCCCTAGGGCTAGTACTGGCTCCTTGGTGGGTGGAGTCGGGGTCCAGAAGTCTCCAGTACTGTTGCCTGCCCACTGGTGAGTGGAGCCAGTTTTGGTGTTAGTGCTGGCCTGCTGGCAGGAAGAACTGGAGTTCATTGCAGGGCCCAGGAATCCCAGAACTGGTGTTGCATTGGTTGGGGATTGGGGTGGGAGTGGGGGCTTTGTGCTGGTTCCTAATACACTTGGGTCCAGGATCTGGGGTGCCCCAAAGCTTATGTTGGCCTACTAGTGGGCAAGGCTGGGGCTCAGCTGGTCCCAGAATAGGGTCTGGCCTGCTGTGCGTGGGCTGGGCCTGCAGGGGGCAGGACTGGGTTTTCTGCTTCTGGTGGGAGAGGCTGGTGTGGAAGCTAGCAGAGGCTTCCGGAGGGCAGGGCCGGGGCGCAGGGCGTTCTGGGACCAGCGCCTGCGCACTGGGGCAGCGGCAGAAACAGCCACATTCTCTGAAGGCCTTTGGGGAGCCTGTGTGCTGATGGCTGGGGTTGTGTCTGGCACAGTTAGTTGTTTGGCCTGAGATATTCTAGCACTAGTTACTACAGGCTGCTGGGTTGGGGGCCAGGTCTTTAGCTCTTACATGGCACGCCGGCAGTGGCTTCCACAGGCACTAGCGTCCACACGGTGAAACGAGCTAAGGCCGCAGGATGAGCCACAGTCATTCCTCACGTCTCCCGGAGACTCTTCAGGACCAGCAGGTAGGCCTGGCCCAGGCTTCTTTCAAATCACTGCGTTTGCTTTGGGTCCCGGTATATGTAAGATTTTGTGTGAGCCCTTTAAAAGTGGCGTCTCTATTTCCCACAGCCATCTGGGCCTCTTGATATTAAGCTTTGCTGTCCTTCAAAGCCAGGTGCTCTGGAGGGTTATCTTCTAGGTGCAGGACCCCTGGGCTGGGAGGCCAGACGTAGGGCTCAGAGCTCTCTCTCCTGGGGCAGAACGTCTGCACTGTAATTATTCTCCAGTTTGTATGTCACACACTTAGGGTATGGGCTTTGACTGTATCCGGAGTCTAACAGTCCTCCCCTCCCCGCCGTCCCCCACCAACCTATCTTGTGGTTCTGTCTTTAGATCTTTCTTGATAGGTTCTGGTCCTTTTCATCCACGGTTGTTCAACAGATAGTTGTGATTTCGTGAGAGGAGGTGGGTCAGTCACAGAAAAGGAAATTTATGGCAAACATTATAGCTTCCTTCCTCTTCCTACCTCATTCCAGTTTCCTTTTAGACATGTTCTGTGAACATCAGAATTAGCTCTTTTGGATCTCTGCATTGCCTCACTTAACTTTTCTAGTTCCGTTTTCTCATATTTAAATGCCAGTGATGGTGTTTTAGATCCCGTTGGATGATTGTGTGGTTAACTGTATGTGTTTAAGTGAAGTACTTTATGAGCCGTAATTACAAGGGATCAGTAAATGAGAGGTGTATGGAGAAAGTAACGTGGAAACTTACATTACCATATGTAAAATAGATAGCAAATGGGAATTTGCTGTATGTCTCAGGAAACTCAAACAGGGGCTCTGTGTCAACCTAGAAGGGTGGGATGGGGTGGGAGATGGGAGGGAGGTTTAAGAGGGAGGGGACATATGGCCAATTCATGTTGATGTTTGACAGAAAGCAACAATTCTGTAAAGCGACTATCCTTTAATTAAAGATGTAAATTTATTTTTTAAAAAGTTGTGAATGAACTCCAGATACATTGGCTACCAGAGCTC